AGCTCGACTGGGATGCACATGCGCCCGGCCACATCTTGCTTGCGCATTGGGAACCACTTCTTCTCCTTGACCAGCTCCACGAGCTCGGTGAAGAACTGGTATGGGATGCGGAAGCGCCTCCGAAAAAGCTTGCCCTCTCTTGACGCTGGTTCCTTGAGGCCCGTCTCGCCCAGCATGCGCCACCAAAACGAGGCACGGTAGTCTGGCCGTGGAAGAACTCGGCGGGCACGCTTCACGGGGGGGCCACCGCCAAGGCCTTCGTCCTCCAACTCGTCGTCATCTGGGAAGGACCGCAGGACAACTCGCCAGGCCGACACGGTAAGCACAGCGCGTTGCCGTTCGCGACGTCTCCGCTTTGCTGCTGCAAGAAGAACAAGAAGGTGGGCATGTCGTTCGTCGTCGCTGCCGCTGTCGTCGGCCGCACTCGTGTGCTCCATCGCGCACCCGGTCCGGTCTGTCTGTGCTGGGTGCTGGCAAGGTCGTGCACACACACGCTCGGGTGCCACTCGGGGATGGATGCGGTGTGACCCTGCGATTTCGGTGTGTTGAATAATCCGTGGGCAACATCCGGGCCCGATTCCCAAACGAAATATACGCCCAACTCTCGTTGGACTCTCGGCCCCGATGTTCCAAACGGATTTTTTCGACCCTAAACCCGCCGCATCCGTGCCCATAAGATGTACATGCCACGGATATTAAAAAAAAAATCCGTTCCGTGGGAAACTTTCGTTTGCCATAAGAGTCAGCCTTACCACAAGCGAATCACGTGGATACCATTCTACACCACCGGGACAACCGGTGCACGACTGCGGTAGAGCACCTATAAATACGGCGATTTTTTGTAAGACGCCGAAAAACTTCCAACAATTATCTACGAAGTGGTATGTTTTAGAGGGGAAAAGCCGGGTAGATACCCATCTCTCCCCAATCACCCGTCGAGTTTGTAAGACATTTTGTAAGACAGAGATGACTGGGCGATGGGCACGACGCGCTCGGCACAGAATCATCGCCGAACAAATCCTCTTCTTCTTGCACAGCAGCACCACACACATCACGCAGATAACACACGAGACAACCAGCACAGCAGTATACGGATTGCTGTAGGTCAAGGGCAGCCAAAGGCACACATCATGGGAGGCGTTGGATATGACTCTTATAGCCCGTTGCCTGCTGTCTGCCGAAGAGCACAAGCGAGTGACGACGCAAGTCAATCCGCGGTCCGTCTGCATCACCCTCAACCTACCGATCTTTCTTTGGAGCTTCCCGCACAGAGGCACATCCCCACAACAGGGAAAACAAGGCGTACACACTGCTGTAGGCCAAGGCTGGCCAAAGGCACACCTCATGGCTGGCATCGGAAGCTATTTTTAGACCTCGAGGCCGACTGCTAGCAGCGTAAGCGAGGGAACATGCGAGCGCATACAAGTCAGATCTCTGTCTGCGGTCTCTTCGTCGTCTGCCGGCCGATCTTTGCTTCCACAACAGACGCACCCCAGAAACAAGTGAGACGTGCACAGCGCTGTAGGCCAAGGGCGGCCAAATAAATGCACACACACGTTGTGGGAGGGGTCGGGGCCAGTTTTAGGGCCCGTTGCCCTCTGCCAGTAGCGAAAGCGAAGAAAGCAAGTACGCACCCATGCACAGCAGCAGCAGCAGCAGCAGCAGCAGCAGCAGGACTGCTGCCTGCCTCTGAGCTGATGATGAAGAGAGCTTAAGACACCAAAAACAAAAGACAAAGCGAAAGAAAGAATCAGTATAATGAGTAGAAACAAAATAACCATGAAAGACAAAGCGAAAGAAAGAATCAGTATAATTTAGTAGAAACAAAATAAGAAATTCATGGTTATTTTGTTTCAAGAACATAAATCGAAAAAGACGGGATTTGAACCCGCGACAGTGCTCCTATTCATCCCCTGACTGAGTGGTGGTATCGGGTGAGGTGTGAGCGTGCGCACTGGTGACCTACGTGGTGGCGTAGGCTCCATCCATATCTATCTATCTACGCTTGCTTTGATGTCTCTCTCCGACCCTTCTTTTCGCGCTTCGCGCGAATGTATAGGAGGGGAGCCATGACGGCTGAATGCTGCTTGCTGTTCTGCTGCCTTTTTGTGATCCGTAAGCAGACAGTCCTTCGATTTTTTATTTTTTTGTGGGAATATATATGTGTTTGTTTTTCGCCCCCCGTCTTGCTGCACCCCCTGGGGTGTGGTGCAGGGCGGGGGATGCCTGGTCGGCGGGAACCCGGCACGGAACCCTCCGGCGTTGTAGGCGGGTGTGGGAAGCGTTCCCCGTTCTCCTTTTATTTTATTTTGATCGGTCTCCTCGACGCTCTTTCTCGTTTGGTGCGGTAGCTGGTCTTTCTTTCTATCATTTTGTTTCCCTTCCGAGTGGTTTTTGTACCCTATTTTTTTCTGTTTCTTCGTGGGGTCGTGTATGCCGGGTTTTGAGACCACGGGCTCCCAATCTTTTTTTTTTTTTAGAGCTAATGTGAGAAACAACAAGAAGATACTACGTTGCACCCGATCACCCTACAGTCGGTTAGAGAAGCCGGGAGAGCAGGCAGCTTCCCATGTATGTCTGTATATTTGATTAATTGTGTTAACATGGTGAAAACTCTAGGCTATTAATAGCTTGCGGTGGGCAACCGGGACGTGGATTGTGATCTTTCTTTGTGTGCATTTATTTTCCTAACCATTCTAGGGATTCCACCAAAAAAACGCGCGAAAAAAACGTGTTTGGAAAAACGCGTCTGAGAAAGTGACGGTTGAAAAATCGTGTTTCGCTGTCTCCCCGCTAGTGTCGGTTGGAACCCCTCCCCGTGCTCCGTGCTCTTGATATTTTTTCGGACATCAGTATAGCCCCTCTTTTTTTTTGGACCAATAACCAGAAACGGGTATACCCGGGTACTTTATCACCACTTTTGGGTACACTTAGAAATCAAGACGTTTGCACCCCCAGGCTGTCAGCTGATTGGCCGAAAAACCATCGTACCCATTTTTGGAGAAAACCCCATCGGGTACAACTGTTGCTGGCAATAGGACGCTCTGGAGTACCGATATTGGTTACTGGTGTACCCGGAAGTGGTCAATTTTGTACCCAGAAATGGTCATATTTTCCTGGCGCCCGACGATCTAAAACACGCAGAACAACCCGTGTACCGCACATACCCGCACGATACACCATGTACCGCACATACACCACACACAGCAGGGTGGTACCAATCTCCGACAGCCTCCTCCGTAGATCGCGGCGAAAAACCAACCGCCGTGCTCTGCTGTGCTGCTGCTGCGCTGCTGCTGCTGCGCTGCTGCTGTGCCTCGCAAGCATGAGGCAGGTCGTGCCCGTTTTGTTTCTCTGTCCTTACCCAATGTACGAGCACCACAGCGAGCTAACTCGCGGATCGAGCGAGTTCGACCCCCTGTAGGAGAGGGGCCCGGGCCCACGA